GCCTCGGGGCCGGCGCGGAGCAGAGGCGGTGTCGGGAGCGCCTGGGCTGCTGCGTTACCACAGGCCACCCCAGAGAAAAGCCCGGGGGCTGCACCGCCTTTCTCCGGTCGCTCACAAAGATCAAAGCGGGTGTTCTGACGAAGGCCGAGGCGGTGTAGAGTTGTGATTTCTGAGGAGGAAGCGTTCATCCGACAAGTAGGTGCTGCTGATGGACCCTTCTGAAGGACAGCAAAAACGCGTGTCTAAATGACTGCCACTTGAACACCGTATTTTGTTTACAACATCTTGTTTACTCACCATAGCAAGCCAAAATACTAAATACTAAGGTACGCACAGAATTATTTAACTGTGATTAGAAGAAAGCATATGTATTTCTGAAACAACGTCTTGTTTGCATTTAATTTATTGTGTTATGACAGGACAAGTGGTTACATGTATGGACACGGGAGAGGAAACACTAATGTGAACATGTGCACAAAATCAGTTTTTGTTCACAAAGCTTACCGAGACACTCTAGCCACAGAACAGAACACGCTGTTGGCCCACTGCTGAAACCAGGACACCCACCACACAACACGACTCCGTCTCATGTTTACATGCAATACAACAGCAGACCAAAATAACTCGCAATCCTGCTCCCACAGAAGATGCACTTCAAAAGATCGGCCTCTTTCCCCTTTGACACACAGGGAAATACCCATGCATACACCTATAAAAACCAGTCGAACAAAAAACAAGGAGTCATCTTTTGAAGTGTTATCAATGATAATCATACACCTGCCAAAAATGCATATTAACTGAACAAATTTAAGCACAGTTGAACAAAATCTGTCCCATAAATGCACAATATATTATTTACTGAACTACAGTAATAGCAGCCCAATGTAAAAAGGATGGGGGCAGGGAAGTAAACTATTTCCTTGTTTTATGACCTCTTCCAAGTATGAAGGAGTTTATTTTAAGTAACTAAGTAAGTCTGTAGACACAAATGAAAAGCTACATACAAACCTGTGCATATACCCAACTTAACATCTGTAAATACAGTAAGAGCAAGTGCAGGTACTAGCATGCTTTTGAAAATCAGACCCTTAATTTTTATGCAAGTAAGAATCCAAAATTAATGGTATTCTGTGAAAAACAAGCAAACAATACTAATCACAAGGTCAAAAAGGCCGTAAACAGTGACAGACTAATGAATGCAAACAGAAGACAATGCTATAAAATGCAATTTTTTTGCAAAATGTCAGGCAGTCGCACCATAAATGACTCCCAAACCTTTTAACTATAGTAATGTCTTGTCATGTCATTGTCATGACAATTACTATAGTTAAAAATCACCAAAATAAAGCAAATTATCAACTTTTAATATGAAATAATAGCAGAGATTGTGAAAAGTTGGGCTTTATGCTTAAAGTACTGGATAAAACAGGTGATTTTAATTCACAGTTACGCTAGCTACTTACTCGGGGGCTGTCATTTCTGCCAATATTCATAGGGACACCCAGGTGTGCAGACTTGGCACACATGCCTTTCTAATGATCCAATACAATGGAATCCTTCACAAGTCAACTGTCTGTGTAAAGTCAGACATTTTTGTCAATTTTTGGAAGAATACGGCACTAGTGGCACGCTCAGCTTCAGAACACACTACTTTCCTATTTAGACAACAGGGTTTTTGCGGAAGATGTACGCTGCGTACCACAACAAGGCCTAGTATGAACTGGGACCTGCAAATATTGCTGCAATCCAACTAATATGTACTTTAAGTGTTAATAATATCAGAAGAAGAGCTTAAAAAAACCCTCATGAAACAAGTTTTTAAAAACTCTTCAACTGAAATTTCCAATAGATGAAGACAGTAATAACGCTGGCACAGCTGACTGTGCCTATTACAGATAGTAACAGGAAACTGCACGGTAGATATCGTACACGCCTAACCCCTCGCGCGGCTGATAAATAAAACCCCAAACAATGGCTGGTGCAGTCTCAGACACAGGGAAAGAAAGTAAGTGAAACCTGTTAACTGACATTAAAAAATACTGTCTTGTATTTTAGAAACAGCCAAGTTATGGAGCACACAGGCCAGACTTCTGGAGTCAGAGCAACAACTTCGTAACAGCACTTCTGAAACTTGAAGGGAAGTGTACCCTCATGATACAGGCAAGATTAAGAACTACTGTTTTTTGCTAACTGGAGGGAATCTAATGTAAGTACCATTATCTCATATTAACAATTGAATTGACTCTTTATTCATATCACATTAAGTGGAAGAACCATATACCAGTCAAAGACAGGTACAGGATAAAGATTCTGCGTTACAGGGATTTTGACGCTTGTGATGAAACTGAAATGACCTTTGACGAAGTACAAACACACCTATCCAAACACACATAGTTACTGTTTTACTGTATCACAGAATTAGCGTTTGAGAAGACCTCTATATCTAAGCCGTTCCTAATAAGATATAAAGGATTGTTTTTCAAAATTAACGTAGAAACTGCTATTACGTAACAGCACACAGCTTAATTTTTCACATTAGTGTATGTATCTAAGATTTGTAAAAAATGAAGGCAAATGTTACAACTCAACAAACAGGACTAGTCAGGAATTAGTCAAATACAGGTGCAAAACACTGGTATGACAGAAAAAAAGGATCAGAAGAAAAAAGTTTAGAAAAATTCAGAACTCATTCATAAAACTGAACGCAAGTCTTTCTAATGAGACTATCCAGTTAAAAATGAACTGCAAGGCAATACTGTTTGTTTCTTTCTCTTTTACCAATTCTCTATTTGCAAGAGGCAATCTGAAAGCTTCCTTGATTATTTTTTGTTTGTTGTGTGTTCTTTCTTAAATATCACAGACTTGAGTATGAAAACATGCCTTCTTTCTGTTGAAAGATCTAGCAAAGTTTGGGCAAGTGAGGAGATGATTTCACCATAAATGGTACATGAACTGGGAGGGAATGACTGCTTTGCAGAATAAATACAAACATCCCCTTTCCTTAGCTGTTATAGATCAGGAACATCACGGCTCAGGCTTCAGCTTATTGCAATATCAGTAATAGTTTGAAAATCAGCAGTGCCTGCCCTTGAAACAGGGGAGTGCAAAACATAATTGGGGGGGAGGAAATAGGAATGCATCCAGGATAATAGAAGAGAAGCATGAAATAATTTCCCGTATTTTGCAGTTTACTTTCAACTAGTAAGCACCTTTTTCGCACTTACAGCAATAGCAACCTTAATACAGCAGGCAAGTTTGCTTCTCACAAGGCCTGCCTTTGATCAGCAGTCACGTATTTGTGCTTCTCTCCATTACGTGGGGATCTGTATCTAGAATTTCACTAGGCAGGAACTTTTTGTGGAGCCTGGCTCCACATCCACCCCTCTGTTAATCATAGTCTATTTTAACTTTTGTAACAGTGTTCAGGTTTGTTTTTTCGCTGCTACTCCTTCCATGAACAGAAGTTAAATGCTTTTTAAGAGCAGACTTGTGTTTAAAGTCCATGTCGCAACAATGACACTTGTAGGGCCTGTCTCCGCTGTGGATATTCAGGTGATCCTGAAGCGTACTTTTGGCAGTGAAGGTCTTCAAGCACACCATGCACTGGAAGGGGCGGATGCCCATGTGCCCCCGGATGTGTCTGTTGAGATTCTTCTTTTGTGTAAATGTTTTGCCACACTGCAAGCATAAGAAGAGTTTGTGCATTTTTAGATGTCTAAGATAGTTCTCAAGGTGCAGAAATCCCCTCGGACACTTGGGGCATTGGTGCCGCCATGAAGTGCCAGAATCCTCCAGGCTCTGGAACCCATTCATCAGACTGGAAGTTCCTTCTGGATTGTCACTGACAAAAGCCTGAAAGTGATTTCCTGACATTTCTGTATTTCTGCTTTCAACTGTAGAATTTATCAAGGAGTGCTGGGTTTCCGGAAAATACAAGTTTGTTTTAGAGGATGTGCAAGGCTGAGGAAAATGATCGTTTTCTACATTCGCTACGCTTATAGAATCCATTCTGAAGATACAGATTTCATCGTCCTTATATCCGATTTCAACCGTTGATATTTCCGGGGTTTTTGTGTCCTTTCTTTCCGAGATCAGGCTCTGCACTGCAGGCCGCGGGATGTCCCCCTTCTCCTGTTTCACAGGGTACTCTATGTTCACGGGGCTGTCTTCAGAGATCTCAATTATTTCACAATCTTTATCTAAAGCATCATCCCCGCTCCTCAGTTCAGCGTCTGAGGAATGACACCTCTCTGCCGCCTGATTACCATTCTCCATGGAAGCATCGATTTCCAGGTATTTCGACAGAGCTTCGGTACACTTTTCCACAATGTGAACCATCTGGAGGTAACTTGCGGCGGTGAGGTATTTCAGCAGCTCCTTCTTTTTGACTTCCAGAGCGCCCGTGTAACAAGACAGCAGCAGCTTTCTGCCCACCTCGGCGCTCTGCAGGATGGTGATCCGCACCTGCTTGGACTGATTGAGCAGAAACTGATCCCTCATGAAGGTGGAGCAGGCGGCGAAGATCACCTTGTGCCCCTGGAACTCGGTGTCGTTGATGTAAATGGAGACGTCGCAGAAGAGGTTCTGCTGCCGCAGGAGGTTCATCTTCTGCAGCACGGCATCCCCCTGCTGCTCGAACTGGAAGTGCAGCACCTCCGAGTCCGCCG